AGCATAGAATTCCTTAGTGCATCAAGGCCTAGAGTTTGCTTGGCCTTTCTACTTGGAAGTTTTAAATTACAAATTCAATTTTCTTTATTCCTTATAGGGCTATTCAAACTGCCTATTTCATGCTAGGTGAGTTTTGGTAGTTTGTTTTTTTGAGAAACTGGTCTATTTCCTCTAAGTTGTAAAATTTATATGTGTATATTTGTTCATAGTATTCTCTTAATATTGTTTTTTATGACTGCAGGGTCTGTAGTGATGTCTCCTTTTTCATTTCTGATACTGGCAATTTTATCTTTGTCATTCTTATTAAATCATTTTGCTGATTTTAGTAGTCTTTCAAAGAACTACCTCTTTGTTTCACTGATTTTCCCCCATGTTTTTATTTTCAATGTTATTTTCTACTCTCTATTATTTTCTTCCTGCTCCTTGTTTTGGGTCTTTCTCTTCTTTTTCTAGTCGTTGATGTAATCTTGAGCTTAGATTATTATTAAGAGACAGGAACTCACTCTTTAGGCTGGCCTAGAACTCCTGGGCTCAAGTAATCCTCCCACTTCCAGCCTCCCTAGTAGCTGGGACTATAGGTGTCTGCCAATGCATCTGGCTAAGCTTAGATTATTGATTTGAGATCTTCCCTCTTTTCTAATGTAACCATTTAGTGCTTTTCTTTTCACTATCCCATAAATTTTGATGTATTACACTTTTCATTTCATTTGGTTCAATGGGTGGCACATTCTATAAATGTCAATTAGGTTCTTTTGGTTGATCCATTGTTGTGTTCGACATTCTTGCTGATTTTCCATCCAGTTATTTTATCAATTATTGAGAAGGGTGTTAAAATATTCAACTATAGTTATGGATATATCTATTTCTCTTTTTAGTTCTGACTTTTCTTCATATATTTTGGAGCTTTGTGCTTAGTGTACACACTTAAGGTTGCTATGTCTACCTGGTGGACCAATCCTTTTATCATTATGTAATGTCTTTGCCTCTGATAATTTTCTATGCACTGAAGTCTACTTTATCTGATATTAATACATTCATTCCTGCTTTCTTTTTTTCTTTCTTTTTTTTTTTTTGAGACAGAGTCTCACTATGTCACCCTCAGTAAAGTGCTATGGTGTCACAACTCATGGCAACCTCAAACTCTTGGACTTAAGTGATTCTCTTGTCTCAGCCTCCCAAGTAGCTGGGACTACAGGTGCCTGCCACAATACCCGGCTACGTTTGGTTCTTTTTAAAATATTTTATTTATTTGCTGAGACTATATTTTAAAAATTTGTGTTGTGTTCATAATTGCTTACTGAAGCACTTTTACCATGGCTGCTTCAAAATCTTTGTAAAAGGGCAGTACCTGTGGCTCAAGAAGTAGGGTGCCAACCCCATATGCCGAGGGTAGTGGGTTCAAACCCAGCCCCAGCCAAAAAACTGCAAAAAAAAAAAAAAAAATCTTTGTGAGATAACTCTAATGTCTTTTCCATCTTGGTGTTGTTATCTATTATTGTCTTTTTAAAGTTCAGTTTGATATCTTCCTGGTTCTTTATGTGACAAGTAATTTTTTAATTAAAAACTGAATATTTAAGGTATTGTGTTATGAGAGTCTGTATCTTATTTAAACCCTCTGTTTTTGGTGGCTCCTTCTGACACCATGCTGGTAGAGGAAGGTGGGGTACCTCCTTGCTATTGCTGGGGGGAGGGGGACAGCTGTCTAGTTGACACATAGGTGAGTATTCCTTGCTACTTCTGGGTAGGGTGAAAGTTCTGGCTCAACACTGGGCATCCTGACTTTCCCCTAGGTATCATTTAGTACCTACCACTCTAGGGGGAGCAGGAAGAGTACCTCAGTACTGCTGAGTCCAGGCAGAAGTCTAGGCTCTCACATAGTCTCCACAGACACTATATAAGGGGGCTCATTATTGCCCACTGGGATGAAAAATCTCATCTTTCTAGTCAGCCTCCTCTGACTGCACTCTAGTTGGGGGGGGGGCACCTCCATATAGCCTGTTCAGAGTTGAGTCCAGGCTCCCCACCTGATCTTGCTGGTGTGGTAGGCCACAGTTTTTCCTGCAGTGTTTGGCTAGAGTAGAGTGATTGTTTCTGTAAGTTTCTTATCTTGCTAGGCTGCTCCTTTCTGGTCCTTTAGCCAGAGAGAGAAGGCTTTTGTTAGGGCATTTTTGGTCTACATTTATTGGCATCACCAAGTTGTCATCCTCTTTATCTCCAAATCTAGGAAGTGAAGCAGAAATAAAATCTAGAAATTCACCCCACTTGGTATTGCTGCTTGGGTTTTGTGTCTTCTACTGGTGAGCCTTCCTCTCTCTATCTCTCAGAGTCTTCTTATGTTTGTTTTATATGTCATATTCAGCATCATTAGTTGTAGTTAGTGGGAGGAACAGGGATAAGCATTTATTTCATCTTCCCAGATGTGGAAGCCTTTTGCTTTTTTTTTGAGATAGAGTCTCAAGGCTATGTCGCCCTTGGTAGAGTGCCGTGGCATCACAGCTCATAGCAACCTCCAACTCTTGGGGTTAAGCAATTCTCTTGCCTCAGCCTCTGAAGTAGCTGGGACTACAGGTGCCCACCACAATGCCCAGCTATTTTTTGTTGTGGTTGTCATTGTTGTTTAGCAGGCCTGGGCTGGGTTCGAACCCACCAGCCTTGGTGTATGTGGCAGGCACTGTAACCACTGTGCTATGAGCACCAAGCCAGATGTGGAAGTCTTAATTCAGCCACTTTATTATTATTATTTTTTTTTT